ATTTCATGTGTTAGAGAGAGTGATCTCAGGACTCCATTTTAGCCATTCAGTGAATGTCTCTATGTCAAGCTAAGAGCCAGAATCCATTTCAAATTTCCACATTTACCAGAATAGAATTATATTAACAAAGAATAATCAATTCATTTGTGTTTATTTTAACTGTAATACACATGTAATCCAATTAAAACGCCAAATATACTACACAGTTAGGGCTGCATGATAAATCATACTTTAATAGTGATCTCAATTTCTGCTTTCTCTCAATTAAGCATAATTGTGTGCGATATTTGCCCACTGGTTATTTATCCTGTTTTCAATTTGATTTGACATTTGTGATATCTTGTATTTTTAACAGATACCAAGTGTTTAAATCCCCCAAACACATCTTTACTCTTAAGTGGATACATTTTCTGTCCAGTGCTTTATCTTCCCAACCTGGCAACCATGTGCACGCATTCTCTCTGCTGATAACCTGAAAACGTGTGTTGGAGTTTGGAGATCTCTGTGAAATTCTAGTGATCACTTTAATATTTTGCTCAAATTACACGGTTAAAAGCCCGTTTAAAGTGATAGTTCAACCCCACCAAAAAAATCTACTCTCGCTGACATTGTTTCCAAACTCAACTTTCTTTCTCCTGTGCAGATATTTTGAAGAATGTTGGTAACCAAACCATTTTGGTGATCTCTAACTTCCATTGTAATGGCAAAAAAAAAAAAAAAAAATCTATAACAGAAATCTATCAATCTATGCATCTATGTCAGAAGAAAGAAAGACATGAGGGTGAAAAAAAATATTCCTAATTAATGGTAATGTGGCTATTTTAGCAAAACATACAGCTGACAGATGCATCAACTCAAGCATATCACCATTCAATCTTTAGACAAACATTTTCAGCAGAATGGGAAGTACCAAACATCTCAGTAACTGTCAACGAAACGATTTACTGGTTTGAAAAAAACCTGACAAACCCAGACCTGAACAGAGTCGACTGTGACCCTTCCTGACGCTCTTGCAACTGAAAGGGAGTAAACACCCGCAAACCAAACGTATTTCAAAATCTAGAGGAAAAACTGTCCAGAAACCTGGAAACTATTACAGAGGCAAAGGAAGGACAAACTCCCTTGTAGCATCTATGATTTTGAAATGAAATGCTTTCCAGCACATATGGATGTGATGCTTTGCTGTGCACACACTTTTGGCCATGTTATAGTCAATGGCAAATGATTATATAAGCTTGCCAGTTTTTGTATGGTTACATAAGCATGTCAGTTTTTGTTTGCACAGCCATAAAACATTTCATAAAATGATGTTATAAAACAGGAGACTCTATTAAAAGAGCAGACAGCATGTTTACAATGTTGACATAGCTTGGAATTTTTCAAACAGAGAAAGAATGGAATGTTCAACATTTCTTATTTCGTCTATGTTAAAACTAAGCTATTTCAGTTTTTAAAAATGTATCACATTGGGAGCCGATAATAGGTTCTGAAAAAAACAACAACACTGCACCTGATGCACCAGACCCAGGTACAACTAAATGGGACATGAGCAATGATTTAACCAAGTACTGAGGAATAAGTTGGACCAAAAGTACTTTTTTTAACAATCAACCATTGCCACAATTATCTGAATACTTGGGGGATGTTTCTCCCAGAATGTGTCTGTGGTTGTGAACGTGATCATTCACGTTTATTTCTAGTTGAGATTTCTTCTGGAAGGATGCTGACCTTGACATGCTGTGTTCATTTGTCAACAATAACACCTGCCAACATAACCACATTCATAATCTATTCAACAGAACAATGGCTCAAATGTCAATTGAAAGTCAGTGATAAATTCGACCAATAGAGCGTGCTGGTTAATGGTCAGCTGGGTTTGCGTCTCAGTTCATCAAGAGAATCTTGAAAACACCTGGGAATCTCTCTCTCTCTCTTTCGTCTGCTTAAGCACAATCTCTATGGTGACATAAAAGCTGTCCTAGAGATGTCCTATTTTAAGCCCAATTTGAGTGACAGCATCAGAAATTTAATTAAAAGAGGAAGCGGTGGACACTGAACACTGGACTTTCATCAAGTCCATGCCACTCAAAAAGAATTAATTATAACAATTAATTATAAAAACCTCCTGCAGGCTTTATGGACCAACTTGTTTTTAATCATCTCAAAGGACAGGTTGTTTCTCGTCTACACTGATCAGCTATTGTATCTGCATACAAAATAACATGAAGCAGAGTACCATTAAAGTACATTAGTTAAACTCTTGTTGCTTGATTACCTTCCAGTACATGTAGTGTTTTAATTGTGTCAAATGTTGCAACCCAGTTCCCCTAAACCTAATAGGTTTTGTAACCTGTGGTCAAAATTAAAGTCACTCACAGCCTCTTGTGGCTCATTACTTCATTATACATGGCTTTGAGTGGTGCTGTTTTTATGCAACAATGTGATCAAAGATAACATTTGTAATACCCAGAATGAACAGTTCTTCCATAAAGCACCAAAATTAGGCTATTTATGGTTGAAGAGCAGCAACAGCATCATTCATAGAGTGACACAGTGATGGCAGTTTCCAAATTATTTTTGTTCCAATCATTTTCACCATAGGAATTCAAATGAATTCTTCAATATAGTCCATCCATCCATCAGAACTAAAAAACGAACAGTTATGAACTATTTTTAATTAACTAATGTTAACAAACATTAAAAGGTAACTCTCTAGCAGTTAAAAACAAAACTGCATGCATTGTGTTACCTGCACCTGTTACACATGGAAATCTATGGTGTCATCTGTACATGTTTTATGCCATTGTTTTGACTAACTGGAAACACTGATATGGTCAAACGCTGCAATTTTTAGGTGTTCAAGCACGAAATTTTTAAATTTTGCATTTGGTTGGCTACAACAGGGTCATGTGGTCCCTGGCAAAATACAGCCAAAAGCCAATAAATCCCAAAGAAAAAGTCAAAAATTGATGAGCATATGTGTCCTAACATGGTTAACATCCTTTCGTGAGGATTGGATCATAGGTGGCACTATAATCGTCAAAAAGGTCTCATTGTCATTAGGTGTTCAAGCACGAAAGTGTTTGCAGGTGTTTGCATTTGGCTGGCTACAACAGGTTCATTTAGGTTCATATTGGAATATGGTAAATCATGATAAATCATTCTATAACATGGTAAATAGTATTGGAACATGGTTATTCATGTAATATCACACTGAAATGTGGTATATCATGGTAAATCATGCTTACTACATAAAACTTAATGTCTTTTGATGCTTTTGTGCTTAAAGGCCTTAACTGCTTGAACACCGCTAAATGCTGCTTGCAGCTTTAATTTATAACTGATATTCTGCCTAAAGAGAGAGAGACTATTTTACTGTTCATAAAACATTCACTACTAGGAGATGTAACCAGTTAAATGAAAAATTGTTGAGTGATAAAAACACCATCATTTCAATTCCCCCAGTCTTCCATTCAAAAAGCCAAGCCAATGTTGATACTTTATCACAAGCTCTGTCACATTCTCTTTTTTTCTCTCCTCTGTTCGTTTTTTTTTTTTTTTTTAAACAGGTGATTCAAAGCATCAAGCATCTATATATATGTCTGTGACATTACCTTGCGGAGGGGCTTGAGCTTGGTCTCCATGATGAAGTCATACTTGCAGAGCTCGCAGCAGCGTGTGTCTGAGCTCTTGATCCACTGCTGCAGGCAGCCCTGATGGACAAACCTCAAACTCCCAGTGCAGTGACAGGGGGTTATCAGTGGACTCTCATCATCCCCCTCACAGTGACAAATCCTACAGTTTATTTACAGAGAGAGAGAGAGAGAGAAACACTCGGTCATACTCCTAAAACTACTGCAAAGCGACTCTGTTCTCAAAAAAAAAGAAGAAACACTTTTTAAAGTGACTGACTATGTAGTGGACACTAGGTCCAAAGCTGTTGCAGGATAAACAGAACACTAAAACAGAGGTCAGTGGCTGGGAATGAATGACTCTGTTTCGGTGTTTTATTTACCTTGTCAGTGACACACTGTACACATAAATCGACAAAAGGATTTGTGG